GCCTTCCCTCTAGTCTTACACTGCTAAATTAGGGACGGCTAGCGCAGATAGCCCTCGTGTAGCTTTGCGCGAAATTCAAAAACAAACAAAACTGAACCAGGGCTTGCATGTGATTAAACTTTGATATAGAGATCAGATAGGCTATTTTTCAGATTTACGAAAAAAAATTTTATACAACAAGAAATAAATTAATGATTGTAAAAATAAAAAAAAAGAATACTGTGAAAATGTGCAGTTTTGTTTTATTATGTTTTTTGCTTATAAATATCGCACTTCATCAACGCTTTGCAGCTGCGACAATATTACTGAAATCCCAGATGTTCTTCGTTAACACTATTTTTTATTAGTATGCCTAACACAAACAATTGGAAAGCTGTCATAAGAGGAAAAGCATATTCTACCAGATCGTTTCATTAGTTGGTCCTCGAGGGATTTGTTAGCATCATAATTAATTCTTTCTATTTTCGGTAAAACTAAAAGTTAATATCTTTAGTGTTACACTTCTCATTTACGAATGTTCGGAAAATAAAATAGGCTTAATATAGGATACTATGGTTAATAAATAACATCCTTTTAGAGAGAAACGTTTTTGAACATTAGTTTCGCATATAAGGTCTGCCAATAAACACTCTGTAAGTATCTATTTGGTTTTGAGCCTGTTTTACTTCACCAGATAGTAACCTAAATTAAGTTAGGTATGTGAATAATGTGATAGATTCTCTTTATAATTTTCCCTTGGTGAAAAAGAAAATAAATGTTTAACATATACATACTGTCGGTGAGTGCTCTTTAGATTTTGAGCAATTATTTGCTAAGTAAGATGTAAGTTGTTTATTTTTTTTTACTAACTAGTTTTGGTTATGATTTAAAAAGCTATAACTTAGTGAGAAGAGAACATTTTTACGAACGATACGGCTAAAATTTGATTCACAGTGATAAGCGTTATGAACCAAAAAGCTATAACTTGACCCATGATGATAAACGTTGCGAACCCTAAAGCTATAATTTGGTCTATAATGGTAAAAGTTACAAACCTTAAAGCTATAACTTGGCATATAATGATAAACGTTGCTAACATTAAAGATATTGTTACGACAGCGGAGGTCACGAGATTGGTGGCAGCATGCGCGCTGGAGTTTCTTGAAGGATCATGAATTATCGAGGAACCCCACGAATGTCCGAGTGTTTTCCAGGCGCCCTCTTTTTTTAGTATATAAGCCTGGCAAATAAAGCCAGCAATAGATAGATATGCAGATAGATAACTGAGTCAAGCGAACAGTAGGCACCGTAAATAAAGTGTGTGAATCACTGTGATTTATAGTGTTATAAAAGTTGTTAAGTTTAAAGTGACTGTAGAAATTCTGTGTATTACAAAGTTGAATCGAGAAAGAATAAACTAGTTTTAATCAAGAAAGGATTTGTATCGCTGAAGTTCCTCGGAAAGAATTTATACCGGAAATTAACAAACAAGAAGATACATAACAATATCTTGGCTTATAATGATAAACGTTGCTAACATTAAAGATATCTTGGCTTATAATGATAAACGTTGCTAACATTAAAGATATCTTGGCTTATAATGAGAAACACTAGTAACCCTAACACTATATTTTGACTCGTAGAAGTTGATATCTATATACTACTAAAACTCTGAGATTGTTTGTTTGTTTGTCTGTAATTAAATACAGCAAAAACGGCACACAATAGCGCCATATTTGGAATGAAATGAGAATAGAAACATAATAAAACAAGTTTCGTTAAAATCGGTCAACGGGTTACCGAGTTAGCCCCGTTTTTCGGGTCACTTTTATGAAAATTTCTAGATGAATTTAGATACAGTAGATGGCGCCACATATCGATTTATCTATCTATCTATTCGTTTTCCACCTGAAGAATCACTTTAAAATATCTTCTATACAACAATATATGCACAACAGAAATTAAATGATGAGATGTGTTATAACGGCGTGTAGAAAGAACAACAATAAAATAGACCTACAATATTACTGACTATTTGCAAATAGTAACTATGGAGACGAGGTAATAAAATAAAAATCAAGTCGAGAACAACAACAAAATTTTATAAACAAAAACCTCTCGCTGAACATTGGCTATTTTATTATTTCCCTGTCAATGTTCCCATCTTCATTAAAAGGCGTAAGATGACAAAAACAAGATATTGAAGAATCTATCTATTTATCTATATCTACTAAAATTCTGAGATTGTTTGTTTGCTTACTTTCTCAGTCAAAAAATCATTCACACTACCGTTCGCGTTCTTTACGAAACTTTTTCGTTCAAATCTATTTCCCTGTCAATGTTTCCATCTTCATTAAAAGACGTAAGATGACAAAAACAAGATCTTGAAGAATTTCTCAATAATGTGCCTTGGTTATGGTAGGTAATTCGAAGAAAAATAAAGTGTTACTGTTCCTTATTTGTAGAAGGTTTACTAGGAAAGACCACAACATAATGAACTAATTCATCACAATACCTAAAAACTCTAACTTCCCTTT